GTACCTCGATAGTGGTCCCATTTTAATTTGAAGAAAATATTCCACTTCTAAAGCTGGCATACTAGGGGATGAATCCGGTTTCGCACACTTTCTGCTGAGCGATTTCAATAAAACTTGGCAAATAGATGTCATTCCATGAACTTTTGAGGTTGGTTTTTTTGGTACAGAGTACTGAGATTATGTACTATTTATTTATTGAAAGGACACAAATACGAGTGGTATCCTGTGTTCTTCAAAAACGAATACTTTAAAAGTTTAAAAGAACTATCGCTTATATTTTGTAAACCAGGTGAAGTGCGAAATCGTCTCCTAGGCAGTACAGTGGCGCTGCAAGAGAAGCTCATGAACATAATTAACATGGAGTCCGATACGGAACCCGTCAGGAATATGCTGGCTGATACTCTTGACTGTTTTATTGGAGTCACTGAAGGAGTTCTTGAGGTAACTTATTTTTTACTTAAACTTTTTTGAATATTTAACGGAAACTATAGAGGCTTTTTGCTTTAAGTAAGCTTAAATTTTAGTGAAATCACAAGCACATCAGACTGTCAACTTACGTGAAAGGGTAACGCAGTGGCAGTGCCCCTCAGATCTTTTCGATTTAAAGCTTTGAGCGGCACTACAACTGCTATGGATAGGCGTATCGCTTTTGGTAAAACAAAAAATTAGATTTTGAAGTTAGTTATTATTATTCATCACCAAGTCACACTGTTGGGTAATCACAAAGTCACACTGTTGGGCACGGATCTCCACTAAGGAGAGTATAAATATGTAATATCGAGTTCTTAGGTTTTCGAGAGTGTTACACATAGGAAATGAAACAATATTTTTTCGGATCAAATTCGCGTAGATTTGATAACTAATAATTATTTACAGGTGGGAACAATGGATGAACAATTTCTAATGCTTATCGGTGCCTTAGACAAGATCCCGGGTATCATATACCGGTACCACAACTATCCGGGTGTGGTGTTGCCAGCTCTCAATCTGCTTGCGAAGAGCGCTAAACGAATGCTGCACTCTGTACAACCGCAAAATGTCAACAAGTATGTACATACACACACATGTACACATATCCATTCCTTACTTTCTCAAACTCGTATCTTACAAAGAATGATTATTCAGGAGATGGCAAAACTTTGTATTTATTTTAAATTTCTTGTCAAGGCCGTTAATTTGGATGCATTACTTTAAGAATACGTAAAAACCAGTGTGTAAATATGATGTGAAATCAGCTTGCAAAATTTGTATATACAATCCATTTTTTGCATTTCAGTAACTTTGTGTTTTAAGATACGAGTTTGAGAAAGTAACGCGACGATATATCGTCGTCTTAGAGTGAAAGAAAACGTCATATGTGTTTTCTACGTAACTTTTCAGGACGAAGTTAAAAATGTAGTGTGACATGTAGTAAACGTTTCACACCATATTTTTATCAATAGCAATAACACAGGTTAACATTAATGTTTGTAGTTAGCATTTTAATAAGTCAAATAATACCTCTTTTAGATACTATATTACTTTTTAATTATATTTGAGCAAGAAGTTTATAAGTTTTATCTTCAACATAAATCAGTAAAAACGAACTATGTGAAAACGCGTATGGGAGGTTTTCACTCTAAGGCGGCGATTTTGGGTTTGTATCATCTGAACCCGGGGTCAGTTTAAAGTTGCAACGGAATCCGAAAGATCCCAAATGCTACTATCGTGTGATCCCTGGACGGGGTGGCTTGTCAAAAATAATTCAATTTGAGTGGCATCCAGTCCCGGGCTCAGTTGCACCTCGAGAGATAACGTTAAATTTGTATCGTCTGAACCCAAAATACAGGGTGTTCCACGGTTGCGGGACGCAGAGGTAAAGTACTTTAAATATTGTATATAAAAAGGTGTTACTTTATTTTTAGAAGTAAATAATACTACAATCAATAAAAGTAGTTTCGCTCTTCTGGGAATCGAACGACCAAATGTGAACAAAAAACATCCTGTATTTTTATGATGCCTGTCGAAAGGGTTAGCCATCAGAATTATTTACCTTTTAAGGTAAATAGTGCCTTAAATTAAAGGAATACCATGAAATTTTACATTTAGGTTTAAGAATATTAATTGTAATTCACACATTATATTTTGATTTACCTTTGGGGATATGTGATAGATATTATATAAGAAGCAATTTGACAATATCCTCCATAGTATCAAATTGCTCAAAAGTTAGAATCGTAATTTAAGCGTATTATTTTGAATGTCCATCGTGACAAGACAAGAAAATCGACAGGCAACGAACTTATCAAAAGATTTGCATACAAGAGAATGGATCAAATTGTGAACATTGACAAATTAATTGCAAATACCATAGATACATTGACAGTTTCAAGTTTGTTTCTTTTTTGAATAATTTGCATATCTCAACGGTGTTCCTCTAAATCAGGGTGTCTTAACCTTTTTCTAGTCATGAACCCTTCTAAACATTTCAAAGAGCCCACGGACCCTTTCCAAAAAGAAAATAATATAAAAAACGAGGTTTAGCTCTTAACAGCTTTTATTGCTTGTAATTAAACTTTGCATATTATGAATACTTGGCGTGACGGTTGTTGCTGCATATGCTGAATTAGAACCATGATTACAATGTCAAAGACGTTGATGTTAATTAAGATGCAATGTTACTGAATAATATATTATTGCGCCTGTCCACCACGGAAGAAGCCTAAGCCAAAGGGTCTCTATTGTCTACGCTCCTGACTTTTTTCGCTTCCTCCACTATATCAGTATTATATGATATTATCATCAGTTCTTGATACTTTTGACCTGGCTATATCTACATATATCCCACGTCGTGTGTTATAATAAACCAATAAGAATCTTCTTTGATTTAAACTTTCACGATTTTCACACATTATTTGATTTTTTATTCGGGACTTGATCACGTATAAAAACATATTTTAATTACCTTTCGGAAATTTTGCAACGTCCATGGTCTTGATAGGGAATTAATATGGCCTATTCCGCTAGTCCTTACCAGCTGTTCCTCCTGGTTCCTCGTTGTCCCCAAGTGCACTTTTTTTTCCACTCTTCCTTACCACGCCTTCACTGGTTGTTCACTACCCAACCGTTTCTATTAATAATACAGTCGAGAATAAAACTATATTAATGAAAAGTATAACTATTTATTTTAAAACATGCTATTAAGTATAAAACATACTTGTTAAGGGCGTCTTTAAATTGGATGCTGACAGAAGCACTGCAGTGGCGCGTCTGTGGCGTGGCAGCCGTGCCACTACTGAATTTTCATGCAATATTTAGTCTGCAAATGTAGCGTTTAAATTATTTAAAATCGTGCAGTATATTGATAAATGGTGGTTTAAAAGTGATGAATGTCGTTATATCTGTTCGTCCCGTTGCTAGATTATTAAAAAAAACTACTAATAAACGATATACGAATAACCTACCATTAATGTTCCCGTTCATCAGCTGCATTTAAAATGAATAATTGACACATCTGTTGTTCTTCAATCTCTTTCCGTTTAGGAAAAGACAAAGGTAAAACCATACAGCTAAGTGTAGTTGTTATTATTATTCTTCTCAATGACGGGCACGAAGCTTGAGCCAGTGTCAGTATTATTATAAAAATTATACATAAAAAAATGGTCATAAAAAAGTCGCCAAAAGTCTTCAGAATCATATTGACTGTTACATGTTTCTTCACTATTTTATCGTGACTCAGTCAATAAAGAGATCTTATATCCACCAACTACAATTATCTATCAAAAAGATATTACTGTGAATATTTAATTAGATATTTTTGTCGAAACTGTACTGTACACGTCAAGAGATTTTATTGGTAGGGATAAGTGGAAATGAAATTCCACTTATCCCATGATGGCGTGGTAGGGAAGACTGGAGAAAAGTTTGCTTATCCCCGCCAGGAGGGACAGCTGGTAGGGACTAGAGGAATATGCCATTAAAATGTTTGTCTACGGGATTAAGTCCCGAATTAAAAATCAGACAATCAGAATCTCTTGAGCTTTTTTATAAGACCTTCTAAACTTTTTGGGAGCTCTTAATGGTTGGTGTTGATGTGAGCTTACAAGTGGGGACTTGTCAACTCTTATCACTACAGCGTCATACTAATTGTGTTTTGTTTGCATGAGGTAATTTCAGCATGCAAAATAAAAACAAGTTTAGTATGGACGCGATGCAGTCGCGTACATGTGGGGCAGAAACAACACCTTAATTGGGATAGAAACAACAAGTTTTTCTCAAAAAATGTTGTTTCTTTTTTGCTCATAAATTATAAGCCGTTCAAAATCAAATAATGTTGTTCGTTCAATAATGTAAATAATTTTCATATTTAATGCTTTCACCTAAAATTAATAGATAAATCTTAGCCCCTCTACTTTTTGTAAAATGAATCTGCGACAATAGCACCACTAGCTTGAAAATAGACTAGGATATTGCTTTACATTGTTGTGTATGTACGACGGACCATACTTACAGATGTGCAATCCGTCAAAATTGATTGTTGTGAATTGTACCTTAAAAGTTTAATATGAACAAATGTTTTTACAGATTCTTGGAAATCTGTAACACAACATTCGAGGTGTACATGAGGTGGAATTCAGGAAAAATTTCAAGTATTCCCCAAGATGCGGAGGAAGAGGCTTACGAGGTAACTATATTGTAGTATGATCATATTGTGTATCAGTTTGTGACGCATATTTACGCTTTTTTGTAGAGTTAAAGCAATGACGCTCTAAGTAAATTACTCAATAAGTTAATGATATAATTATAAATACAAAGATCGAACACTTACAAAAAAAATCTTTCGATCCGGCCGGATTAGATCCGAGACGTCGTCAAGCAAACCGTGCCAGACGCTACGCCAACTAAGCTACGGAACGAAAAAGCGGACCTCACGAATTTTTCTGTGTGCATGTTGACGGATCTTTGTATTTAGTTTTCAACGACTTTTTAGCCTTAATTTGTCGTTAATGATAATTTGATAAACGATTAAAAAACTGTGTTCTCGTTTGTTCAGTTGAAAATAAAACAAGCTTTTGCCCCTGGTTTAGTAGAGATTTTTTATTTCCTCTATTCCCATTAGTTCAGTTGTCCATCCTCTCTCTACACTAGTTTTGTTGTCCAGTCCAGTTAGTTGTCCAGAACTAGTGGGAAGAGAGGACTATTACTCATATTCACAATTATAAAATTATTATTATTAATTGTTGTTCAAATTCAATTTTTTTTCAAATTCAAGTGACCAGCATTAGACTAAGATAAAAAAAATGTCCAGAATAATGGCCCCATGTTTGTGGAACGACACAAAAACAGCAAATTACTCGTCGCACTACCAGTGGGTCACTACGATGGTACTACGAATCTGGTAAGGTATCAAGGAAATAGTTAAATGAGGACCAAAATTTCATCAATTCAGTGAATTGAATAAATGGGAAAAAGAATCTCACTAGTTCAGTGAACTGAACAAACGAGAAATAATCTCATTAGTTCAGTCAACTGAACTGGACAACTGAATTAGTGGGAATAGAGGTAATTAATTCTATGCATCGTAATGACAACTTGTTTAATATTATTTAATTGTATCCAGGACATCTGCGCCCTAATGGAGCTTATCTGCAGCATCGCGCGCTGCGGCTCAGACCGCGGCGTCGGCGACACGTGTGCGAGGGGCTTACGACTGCTGCTGCCTTTGGTCACGCCGCCATTGTTGTCGCTGCCTACTCTTGCGCTGCACACTTATAGGATGCTACGGGACTTGGATGCCACTGGATCTGATCAGGTATCAAATTGATAGCCCACAGTACAATACCCAATATTAATAATAACGTGCCAGACAATCACACCAATAACCTAGTCTCGAACGTGGGTGTTCATTAGTGCCTCTACCATGAAATTACAGTGACAGTTATGGCTAGCGACCGCGTAAAATGTTTGCATACAAGATGTTGTTTCTTCTTGTGAACGCTGTCGGCGCTATATAATTTACCATACCAAATTGTGTAGTAATTTACACGGTCGCTAGCGATAACTGTCATAGTAAACTCGTGGTAGGGGCGCAGATCACCCAGACAAGAACTAATTTTGTAAAGTTAATTTCCCAAACTGATCCTATCGGGAATCGAATCCAGGACCTCCTCATCTAACACCCACACACACTGGGGTCCGTTTATAGAAGAAAACGCTCAAAACTCAATTTACAAAATGTGGATATTTTAAAAGATATATACATTAGCTTAGTTATAAAGTATCACATCACGCGTAAAAATACTGAGTCGCTAACTACTGTCAGTTGTGAAGTGCCTGATGCACTCAAAGTTTGCTCTTTACGCTAAATAATAATTATTACGTAACGTGCCTGAATTTCTGTGCAATCTTTAGACATTTAACTGCCTCAGTGGCCGAACGGCTATCAAGCCCGACTGCCACGCAGAGGAACCAGGTTCGGTTCCCGGGAAGGGATAAATTGCGTTATTATTATTTATGTCTTACGTTTGATATTAAAATCAATTTAAATGCATTATGTCAGTGACCAAGCAAGATAATATGTTGGTCTCATAACATTTTTATTATTTTGTAAGTTTGTCGGTATCTGATATACAGCTAATTATTTGTAGTCGTGCGAGTTTTTTGTTGTGAAATTTTTAAATTAGAACCTATGTCCGGTATTAAGTACCGTGTCATTCATTTGAGATATGTATCAAGCTGTCTTGTGTCAATTCACTATTAAGGCATCTTGAATGATTCCATCTCAAGTGACTAAGACAACGGTTAGGGGCATAGGGATGGCTGCTTACCAGGCCAAAGGAATTTAACACGCTTTGATATTTTATTGGATTATTACTTTATGCAACATTGTTTCATTCACTGGTTTATTCGTAAGTGAAAGTAATGCTTATCGTTTTTTTTTTCTATTAAACTCTATTGTGTTTGAAATAACAAATATCTTTGATACTCCCTCTGAGTTTTTTTTTCTAAATACAGTCCCTCCATGATGTTTATGAAATTAACACGTACTGTACAGAATTGTGGCAGAATTCAGTCAATAAATTAGTCTCACGTTCAAAAGACAAAAAAAAACAAATAATAATAATAATAACGCACACACTCAACATAGCCCCGCACTAGAGAAACCCTGTGTCGCGAGTGCCATGGACACACATAGACAACCACAAATTACACTCAAACTCACGAGAGAAATAAATGTAGGCCATACAAATATTTCTCCCGGCCCGGGAATCGAACCCGGGGACCTCTGCGTGGCAGAAATAGCCTTTTAGTAAAACAACCTCTGAATAACATAAAAGCTCCAGTTACCGCCGCCCGCATTCGCTACCCAAATATATAAATGTCTCTTTTCCAGATCACCATTCTCCCTATCGAGGACTTCAACATGGTAATCAACGCGCTACGCATCGGTCTTACAGCTGTTTCATGTGATGTGTCAACCCTCTGCTGCGACACCATAGTCGGCCTCGCTAACAAAGTACGAAACATGGGAGACGACAACCCTTATGCTTTATCACTGCTATCTATAGCAGAATTACTCCTAATGTTGATAATTAAGATGGAAATACCACCGGACTCCATTCCTGCCGCGGGAGCCGCGATATACGCATTGACCTGTGTTAAACCAGCTTTATTGGAAGGCTTAGCTAGACAGCTGATCGAAGCGTTTGCGGTCAATGACCCCGCAAATGTACCCAGACTTGAAGAAGCTTTTGGGGTGTTGACAAACGGGGTCCTTTTCGATGGCTTGCGCTCACACAAAATGCGATTCCAAGACAACTTCGATAAATTCCTAGCGAGCGTTCACGGTTTCCTTATTGTGAAATAATCTATATCAACTACGAACAATTGCTTATCGAAAGGCATTTGAATGCCGATGAAAATTTTGAAAACAATTGAGTGTGTCCACGCGTTTAGAGTCGTAGTCAAAGTCGATCTCTGCCTGTTCAATCCTTTAAGAATGCCGTTGTTTAACGCGCTAGCTCGAAATGCATGTGCGTAGATGATTAATCATCACTGAACTGAATGCGAACCAAATGGGAAAGAAGACTTAGTAATTTTTTTGCAAATTTACTTCTAATTGTCTACTCGAATATCGTATAAAGATGGACGCATAAGAAGGCATCACACGCGCCGAACAATTCAACTGCAGACCGTGAAGTTATTAGCAAATGTGAAAAGTCATTATGTAAGCCCAATAAACAAATTCGCAATAAGCATACAGAGAAATTCGTAAGATCTGCTGGCTCGATCCGTAGCTCAGTTGGCAGAACGGTGGCGGTTCGCGTTCAGTCGAGTCGAAGGATTTTTGTGTGTTTATTCGATTCTTGTATGAGTATTTTCACAAAAAATAGATCATGGTAGTAAAAACATCATCCTATTCAATAAAAAAATAAAAAGTATGATCACAAATTTACAACCAATAGATGTCTTCGTCAATATACTCCGTCCAACCATTTATTTAACTTTGGACAGCACGAAATTTTATCAATTAGTGACGTCCTAATGGTTTCCGATTCGATTTTTTATAACAATCGATTTTATTTATGAAGAAGTTTAAATCGTGAATGTGAGCGTGTTTAAAAAAGAAGATATTGTCTGATTCGGATCGTGTTGTTGCATTTGACAATTTGTGTAAACTGTTCTTAGTTTTGTTACTGAGGATTCAAGTGATTATTGCCGTTAATGTGAAGAAGAATCCGTCGATTCATTATAATAATAGACAAAAAGACTTTATTACAATTATTTATAATTTATATAATTTCATTATAATTTATTAGACAGGTACCAAAATTCATCAACTTTAATAATCTTCGTTACGTAATCTGTCGGCTCGATAAATATCGGTGCTAAAGAGCACGTCGCTTCACTATAGTAAAGAAAAAAAAAGCATCTTGTAATATGTAATTTGCATTTTTTGTCTATGATTGCCTTTTAATAATTTATTATGAAACTACATAAGCATGCTTATGTGAAAAGTAAAGTAAATGATAACTGCCTCTGTGGGCGAACGGTTGCCATACCGGACTGCCGCGCAGATATCCCGGGTTCGATTCCCGTGCCGGGAGAAATATTTGTATTTCTGTCGTGAATTTGGGTGTAATTTGTAGTTGTCTATGTGTATCCATGGCACCCGCGATACAGGGTTTCCCTAATGCGGGGCTATGAGTGTGTGCGCGTTATTATTATTATTAATTAAAATGGTTGGACGGAGTATAGGTACAACAACAAACATAGGTACAACACATTTCGTCAATACTTACCAATCCAAAAATATACTACCCTGTATCGTGCCCAGCTCGAAAGTTACCATTTTACTGGCAGAATTGAACACCTTTTGAACCAACCACGACCCCAGAGAGGTTATTGTCGAATTAACTAATCGGCGCGTATGGTGCTTATATGCGTTCACTATAGTATTTGCTCGACTTGTTCTACCTTGGGCTGTGCGAACCAGAACTGCAAGTAGATGCGATAAAACGCATAGGGTGTATGTCTATTTTAGGTGCCCTGATGTCCTATGTTTACTTATTTTGTGACCGTACAAGATTGTCCTTAAACATGGAGATTCATAGTGACCCTTTATTTAAGAGCTAGGCTCTTGTCGGTGTAGCTTCCTCTACTTCTCACAAACGTGAAGGAGGAGGCGGACGGGATAGCTAGCTCCTTGGCACTTGCAGTTGCTCACTTTAACGTTCTTCTTTGTTCACTGTACGCCATTCTTGATCTTTCTAGTCTAGTCTTCCGCGGAATATCCATTGACTGGAAATGTCCTCTTTTAATTTTTTTTCCGATTTTGCACCTCAGAGAGAAAGAGACGTAATTGAGGCTATCAGCTCCAAAGTGGTGTAACCCACATTTTTTTTCGACGATATTACTTTAAATGATACTAAAGTACATAATTATTTTACATTTGGATGCTATTTTCATGTATAAAAAATAATATTTAAAGTAATATTATACAAAAAAAGGAATGTGGGTTACACCACTTTTGCGTTGATTGTTATAATTTTAACTATCTAAATAAATAGTGCAATGATTAGAAGGAACAATGTATCCGGTCCGGTCCGGCAAGGTATATTTTTACGATCGCCTATCACATAGAATACGACTACCTTATACGGTCACACTAAATGTAGTCTCCATTCGTATAATGGCCTAAAACAGGGTGCTTTAGCAACTGTAGTTCGACTGGGTATCCTTATGATCTTCCTTTTACACTTCGTTTAGTGGAATGCGATGAAAGTTATATTTCACTATTCACAACGAATACATGGAAAAACTTTACAATGTGGTTGTGAATGTGTAAAATGCTGAAAATGATTTACTGTGGTATTTAATTCTTAGAAACTAGGTATGAGAAGTACACTTTTATTAGTACTTAATGGCTAGTTAGAGAAATTGTGATTTCTACTACGCTAAGCTAAGCACTTGTAAACTTGTTTAAGTTTACATATTTTAAGAGAAATTAGGCACTTCGTATTTATTGCAGGTTTTTAATCCGTCTTACTAAAATAAGTCCTTTTATCAAATAATTCTTAGATAATTCGATATTGGTAGCTATTCTCCTGTTTATCGTTAAGTTTTTACTTAAATAATTCCCAAATACTATTTTGTAGTTTCGTCAAATTATGCGAAGTTTATACTATCCAATTCTATCCAAAGCAGATCTGTTCCAAGACTTTTTTAATTGGAAGATTGCTTATACAATTGATTTTTTTCTTAAGGTCAATCAAGAGTTGCCTTTACTATTCTATAGGTAAAAACCTCATACAGACATGGTGCAAACGTTGAATTGTTCTACACTGTTCTGTAAACAGTCTCTTCAAAACATGAAACGTGTGAAATTGAAACTAGGGTAGAGTTTTACGACATGAAACTAATTATATTTCAAAGGTTAAATGCACAACATAATCTGCTTCAGTATTTATGCCTAATAATGTGTCGCGCCCTTTATCACAATGGCAACTACGAGTGCAATAACTCGCGTGACAATATCTTACGTCACTTACAATATTGACGGAAAAAGCTATTTAAATAGTTCTATTAACATCTTATACCAACAAAAAGTTTAACGACAGTCTTAACCTGATGTAAAGCGATATGACCGACGATTATCTGGAAATGAATATTGCCTATGCATATATATGCAATAAAATAGTTCGTTTCAGATTCTCTGTATGATGTAAGTAATTATTTTTCTTGTAAGGGACTGAACCTATAAATTCTCATGATAAGGTAATGCTAACATTGTAAATGTGTCACTGAGGAGATCCTTGCTCTGCAGGTCGGTGAAGTATAGCTTTTTTCTGTCACTTATTGGAAGAACACCTATACTCTTATACTCAAGATCAGAAATAAGAAAAAAGGTGACTACTGCACTGTTAATTTACTTTAAAAGCAATTCTGTGAGATGGGGAAAAGTTCATTCTGTACTAGATGCCGCTTACGTCGGTACACAAGATTAGTCGACATAGGACCTATTCGTAAAATGACCTATAGTCTTAAAAGTACGTAGTCGTGGTAGGCCTCATTCTGGAAATGCCTTATTCGGGAAGTACCCTATTCTACTTAAGACATATTCGTGCAAAGACTTATTCTTAAAAGGACATATTCTTAAAAAGACTCATTCTTAAAAAGACTTATTCTTGAAATACCCCATTTTTCTAATTGTTTGTCAATTCGCTAATTTATATTGATTTCTTTTATAATATCAAGTGACGTGACGAACAAGTCGTGCGCCTGATGGTAAGGTTCACTTATAATAATAATAATAATAATAATCCTGAAACTCCACTGAAATAATCCCAATTGTTTTGTCCGCAAATGGGTTAATTC